AGATGGTTAAGAGCTAAAAAGCTCGCAAGCATAAACCGATTACTGAATATATTTGTCAGGTGTAATTAAAAACGCACTACCCTTGACACTGACGCTTCATCTCAACAAAAAATATCTTTCCAAACTTATAAAATAAAGATAATTGAATAATGAAAGATAATTGAAAGATTATTATTCATTGACCTTGGAAACCTTTTTCTCAAGTACATTTCGTCTCCAATTGAACCTTAGAAAACGGAAACCCTCTCGAGAATTCAGCAAATCATAAAACCCTCATTGAGTCTGAAGAACGCATGAGATAGTACAAGTACTGCAGCGCGTTTGAAGGGCGTTTTCTTTGATTTGAAGAAGGCAAAATTGTGAGGAACAAAAAAGTGTTTGCCAATCGGAGACCTAAGATCTTACGAAGATCTTCGCCGAAGGCCTAATCAAAAGGTGATGCGACTTTTTTTATTCTCATAAGTCATCAAAGATGTTGCACCCAACCCTTAAACTCCTTGTTGCGCATCTTATTCCCAGAATCGGAAACTGTTCATCGGATTCTAGATAAATGAGCTCATGTGAAAAGATGTATTTGAATTTTTTGCGCAGATGCGCCCGGAAGCAGTGTAGCAGTGTGGACATGTTAGTTATGTTCGGCTTTGAAGCAAATTAGAGCAAGATCTACATGGTAGCGAAACTCGCTCAATCTGCATAAGCAATTTTGAAAAATTGGGTATTTGACGCCTGGTAGCAGTATTGTTTTGTGCTGGTTAATTAATTACATCATTTCTTTTTTCCAAATCTTATTACACATTCTCAACACGGTTTCGTTTACCTGAACTGAGGCAGGATAACGTCCACTTGTGTGCTCTCCAGCGAAAAAGACACGCTCTTCGCCGCCGTAGGTTCCATCTTCCAGTTGTGCTCGAACGGGCTCAGCTAGTATGTCACAAAGGTCTCCTACAATTACGTTCAGTCTTAAATAGCGCTCACAAACCTTACTAAATTGCTTCTGACTAGTT